TGAAGGGTTAAAGTAGCTGAAGCTGTGCTGAAGGGTTAAAGTAGCTGAAGCTGGGCTGAAGGGTTAAAGTAGCTGAAGCTGTGCTGAAGGACTGAATGCTGAAAAACGTGAACTTCAGCTGCTGTTGTGTGTTTCTTCAGGTTCTGCTGGACGAGCAGCAGGTCCGGCTCGGTCGGTACGAGGGCGCGGCTGGTCAGAGTGTCGGGGAGCTTCAGAAGGCCCAGAACTGGGTCGGTTCTCTGCAGGCCAAGATCAGTGAGAGCGAGACCAGGAACCAGGTACCAGCACCCCTCCTCCTCAGTCTGAGTCCCAGCAGGAACCTGTGGAACCAGCACCAGAACCTTTTGTCTGGTTTTCAGAAGCTGCAGGAGCGTCTGGCTGAAGTGGAGCTGGAGCTGGGCTCGGCCCGGCTGGAGGCCCGGCAGCAGGAGAGGAGCGTCCAGAACCTCACCGAGACGGTCCGCTCCAAGGAGGCGGAGGTAAGACGAAGGAGACGGGCCTGGTACCAGGAAGGAAAGGTCCAAACCCATGTTGGTTCTGTCTGCAGGTTTCTGAGCTGCACCGGGTCATCGAGGACCAGAACCAGATGTTGGGTTCTCTCAGAGAACTCTCGGTCCGCAGCCAGCTCCAGGTCCGTTGTCTTTCATTTATGACCCGGTATCGTGAACCCAGAACCACCTTCCATCTGCTCCTCTCACCCGCAGAGGTCCGGTTCCGAAGCTGCTCCGGGTCAGATGGAGGTTCTGGTCCTGCAGGCGTCTCTGTTCCAGACCCAGCTGGAGCTGCAGGCGGGTCAGCGGGCGCAGCGGCAGGCAGCCAGGGCCCAGGAGAACCAGAACCGGGCCCTGGAGGGACTGGAGAGAGACCTGCAGGAGGCGCTGCAGCAGAGGAGGGAGGCGGAGAGACACAACCAGGTGGGGGGGTCGGACCTGGGATCGGACCTGGGATCGGACCGCGGTGCTGGTTCTGGTCCTGGCGCTCTGAACCCGTCTTCATTCTGTTTATGTGACCTTCAGGAGCTGCAGCTGGTTCTGCAGGAGGTCCGGTCCGTTCTGCAGGAGAAGGAGGAGCAGCTGAGGGAGAACCAGCAGGAGAGCCGGCGGGGGGAGGAGGAGCACCAGAGGAGCCTCAAGGAGCTGAGGACCTCCCTGAAGAGCAAAGAGGAGCTGGTGGAGGTCAGAACCGCTGCTCCGTCAAAATAAGAGTTTGTACGATGAGAGTCTGAGCTGGAGGTTCTGTTGGGTTCTGACAGGAGTACCGCGAGCTGCTGGAGGGTCCGAAGGGGACCGGAGACTCCCTGGTTCTGAGGCTTCGTCAGAGAATCACTGAAAGGGACCGAGCTCTGGAGGTGAGGCGAACCATCCAGAACAAAACCCGTTCATCTCGACCGGACCTTCTGATCCGACTGTCTGTCCCACCCGCAGCGAGCCGTGGACGAAAGGTTCCGATCCGAGGAGCAGGAGGAGAACCGTCGTCTGCAGCTGCAGCTCCGGGAGAAGGACCGAGATCTGGACCGGCAGCGCCGCGTCCTGTCCAACAACGAGGAGACCATCGCTGTAAGCCGACCGGCGCCGCTCCGGTCCAACGCTGCGTCCCGCCTCGGGCCTGACCGTCTCTTTGTGTCTCAGAGTCTGGAGGCGCTGCTGAGGGGGAAGGTTCTGGAGCTGGACCGGGTCACCCAGACCCAGAGGAACGTCCAGAGTCTGCAGCGGGACGCAGAGGACCAGCAGAACCGGGTCCTGAGGGAGAGGGACACCATCATGGGCCAGCTGCAGGAGGCGCTGCACGCTCAGATGCAGGAAGTTCAGGTCCAAAAACACAGCAACATCCTGTCACATTTCAAAATAAAAGCATGCTCAGACGCAGGAAGTTCAGGTCCAAA